TATTCCATGAAGAGGAAATAGCTACATTGAACTCTACTCCTTTCTCAGGCTCTTCCATTTTCTCTGGCCTCTCTTCTTTATTTTTATTATTATTGTTAAGAGATATTTTTATCCATTTTATATACCAACCACAGATTCCCCTCTCCTCCCTCTTGCCTCCCCCCAGCCTTCCTCCTCAACCCATCCCCATTTCCACCTTCTCCAAGGCAAGGTCTCCCATGGGGAGTCAGCAGAGCCTGGTATATTCAGTTGAGGCAGGTCCAGGTCCCTCCTCCCTGCACCAAGGCTGTGCAAAGTGTCTCACCATAGGCACTAGGCTCCAAAAAGCTGGTTCATGCACCAGGGATAGGTCCCAATCCCACTCTCTGGGGCCCCTAAACAGTTCAAGCTAAACAAGTGTCTCGCCTATCCAGAAGGCCTAGTCTAGTACCAAAGGGGCTCCTCAGCTATTGGTCCACAGTTCATGGATTTCCACTAGTTTGGCTGGTCATCTCTGTACATTTTCCCATCATTAACTCGATGTCCCTAGATATTACCTTAGATAATACTTTAAGGTATAGGATAGAAGAAAGAGGACAGCCCTGTCCCTGCTGACTTCAGTGATATTGCTTTGATGTATCTCCACTTAGGATGATACTGGCTGTATGAATTCACTCCTCCTAGGTATAGTTCCTTCAGAGCTATGATCATGAAGGATGGTTGGCCTTTGTCAAAGGGCTTCTCTCCATCTCAGATGGTTGTGCCATTTCTGTCCCTAAATATTTCAGTGTGATATATCCCATTTATTGCTTTTTATATATTGGACCAGAAGGATAGTAGTAAAATATATTGATATGTTGTTAAATGCTTTCTCTAAAGGTAACTGACAGGTTTTGCTTACATGTTGATCAGGAAATCAGCCTACAATTTCCTTGCTTGGTTATGTCAAGATGATACCAGCTTATTCAAAGAGTTTGGTAGCATGCCACCGCCTTTTTGATTTCTGGAATGGATTCAGGAATGTTGTGTTCATTCTTCGGAGAATTCAGCATTGGACACATTTGGCCCAGGCTTGCTCCAGTGAGAAGACATTTTGTTGCTATTTAATCTCACTGCTCACTGCAGAACTCTTCATGTTGTCCGTGTTTTCCTTTTTAATTTTGTGTATCTCAATGTAGAACACTGGTCATTTCTTTTTTATTTTCCAATTTATTTGTGTATAAGTCTTTAAAGTATATCCTGAAGGTCCTCTGATTTTGAGGGATTATCCACATGTCTTCTCTTTTATCTATTGTATTTAATTTTAGTTTTTATTTTGCTTTGTTTTGCTAAAGGTTGACATTAATGATACTCTTTTCAAGATATAAATTTTTATTTTATTTCCTCTTAATGCTGTTAATTGTGAGATCTTGCCCCTAATCTTGTTTGCATCTTGGTGGATTAGGAAGCTGAGTGCTCAGGAGAGACCCAGATGGGAATTCCACTGACATCCATGTCTTCTAGAGAGGACACAGTGCCAAAAGTTCCACATTTCCCCCAAAAAGTCCTTCACAAATGACTAAGCATTCAAAACCCAGATCCTGTGTATGCTATTTCATATCCAAAAATACCATCCTAGAAACTAATACATAAACATTAATAAACAGACATTAAACACACACACACACACACACACACACACACACACACACACACACTGATAGGAATGCACACAGACACATGTGCACACACAGAAAAATGCATACACACAGTCACACATAGAATGACATGCCCATATATGGGCAATGGCACTATTCATACAGAAAAACACACAAACACGCTGTATCTGCATATTCAAAACAGACACAACTGATACAAATGCACAAAAGAACTACACAGACACAAATTTACACAAGCAGGCAAAGGCACTAGCACATAGAGACAGTTGCACACATTAACACAAAAACATAAATATTCATGTGCAATCTCCACAGCTACCCAGACACATAAACACATTTTATGCACTCTGACACAGACAGCTACATACACACACAGAAGTAGGACAATGCATTTACACTGTGATGTGACAGAGAACTAAAGAGAAATGAGAAGTAGGAAACCTGGGAACTATTGTCAGAGACCCTCCTCCTAAGGAATCCTGGAAAGTGTGAAGGCCGTTGCTCAATGAAAAGGTGGGTTGGGATTCATGTGCATTTTAGGGCCAGGCTGCTAGCTTGGTAGAGATCAGCTGTGAGGGTGTGGAGAGTCAGGGAGGTGTGCTGCACTCTCATAAGGATAGAAAGCAGAGGGGAAGACAGGACACAGGGGTCAGGGTGCTGAAGTATAAAACCATAGCCAAGTCCTCAGGGGAATGTGCCGGAGAACACACTGCCGGGTACTACCCTGTTGTGTGGAGACAGGCTGGTGGCTCCTCTTGAAACAGGAGGTTCTTAGGCGGACAAGAAAGTATTGTGGCATCGTTTAACAGGAGTAGAGCCAGGCATGGGGAGGTTGAGACCATGGGAACCCTTGTTATCCTTCTGGCTCTGAGTTCTCAGGTGTCACTTCCCACTATGATGACATTCTCTCTCCTGACAAGGCTTCCTGAGATTAAGTGAAAGCACAGGCAGTTGACTAATTATAGGAATTAGCACCATGTATTCACGAGGTCCAAACAAAACAGTGCAACCAGCCTATAGCATGGATGGAGGCTTTGTGCAGATGAGGTTCCACCCAGTGCAGGATATAAATGCTGCAGCAAGGCCCGGAGCACAGAGGCACCATGATGACCATGCAGTTGCTCCTGCTGACTGTGGTTATGACCCTGCCCTCTGTGGAGCAAAAATCATTTGGGAATTTAGAATTTGATGTCACTGCTGATGAGGTGAGAGTTCTGGGCAGACAGAATATGTACAGTGGATTCTGATGGATTGAGTGAGAGTTTCTGGGCTGTTGATGAGAGCTGAAAATGCACACCACTGAGATGCTACTATATATATAATTTCCCCTGTCCTCCCTCCTCCCATTCCCCATCCCTCCCCCTCAGTCCACCCCCAATTCCCTTGGTAATGGAGGGCAAGGGTCATGGGGGGGTAGGAAAGAGAGCTTAGGAGATGCTATTTTAAACACAATGTCTAGTCTCCAGCATGACTTTTCATCATATCTGACATCAGGGATACCCAGAGGCCAAATGATGGTTTGAGGATGCCTCTGTCTCATCTCATACCACAGAAACACACATCTTCCTCTGTCAGCCTGCAGTCTTCTAAAGCCTTCTAGAAATTCCACAGAAATGACTCTTTCCAGAAATTCTATTTCTCAATGAAAGCCTCATGCAGCATGATGTGCACAATACACGGCTGCTGTCTGCAGAGGGCTGAGCACTGCTGGGTATGGGGAGGTGTTGATGGAGCGACATCCTAAGATGTTTAGATGTTTAAATTGATGACAGGTTTTGAGAAGATAAAAGACTCTGGAAATGATTAGGCTTGCTCCCATGTCCTGGCACTGATGGATAAGGATGCCATTGTGGCTTCCCTGATCTCCCGGGGCCTCCTCCTGGAAACTCAGTTGACATGGAGGCAAGCACTCCTCATGGATGAAGCTGGCATCTGGGTACTCTGCCTCCCTCTGACAACTACAGATAATCTGGAGCAACAATCTCTCTCAGTCTTAGAATGAAGGGACTGGACAGATTTAGATCATGTTCTTAGCCTGATGCTGTTTGTGATTTTCTCTTCTTATGTGAGACATGTGCAGGTACCCTAGAATCATCTGTCCCAGGAATGATATCAAGGTCCCAGGACTATCCTGCCAGGATCTGCCCACTCATGACAGAGAGGGGCAAACCAAGACCAGGACTCTTTTTGATGCTTCAGTGTATCATGTCCCTTTAAGTGGTACCTGGCCTAAAACCAAGTCCCTTCTTTCATCTCTTCCCATCTCAATTACTTCCTAGAACCACTTGGCTTAGCTTCCTCTTTCTATGCTCCCTCTCTAATGGGTGGCTTTGCTCTCTAGCTTCTAGGAAAGTGGTACATAGTTGCCTGGGCGGGAAACGTGTTTCTTCCTGAAAAGAGGAAGTTCAGCCCACTGCCACCGTTCACATTCGTCAGGAACATTATTGGCAAGTTGGAGTTCAGGATGAACATCTCGTAAGTACCTGTGCTCAGCGAGCGCTCTCTGCACTCGGCTCCGTGGAATCACCACACTAACCATGTGCATGCCCTAGACATCAGCTGGGTACTTGATGTCAACAAAAATCCTCTTGTGTTGTTTGGACAATGGTTCAGGTGACTTTCATAAGCACAGGAGACATGTTCACAGGACACCAGATTCAAACGGAAGGTCCAGCTCATCACATGCTATCCTCCTATGACATTCCCTGGAGGACTGAAGCTTTCCTTCCTAGTGGTGCTGTGCTCCCTGGAGCCCTGTAGATGCTGTGCTTATTTCTGTGCAGGCACAGAACCTCAGACCCCTCAAGATTTCACTGAGTTCCTTGTGCAGTGAGGACCCAGGGGTAGTGACAGCAGGTGCAGGAATCAATCATGGCGCGGGGGGCGGGGGGGATACCCTTGGAGACACAGTAGCAGAATCAGGGCAAGACCTGGCCTCCTGGGGAAAATAGACTGGGCTGGCAGGTGTATTGTTCAGAACAGGGAAGATGGGATGGCTTCAGATATGGACCATCTTTCTGTTGCTGCCACCTGCTTTGATGTTTAGAACACAAGAAGGTGACTCAGGGGTTGTGGAAAGCCATGTGCTGATGCTTGGTTAGCTGCTATATGTACCAGATGGAGGATCTGGGGTGTGTAGCTCAAAGATGACAACAGGGAAGGACAGGGCTGATGTCATGGAGAAAGCTATGCTTTTTTTCTGTGTTACAGAAAACCCATCGGGTGTATTGAGTTCAGGATATATATGGATGAACATAAATCTGTGCTTGGTGTCTTCAAAATCTGTGAGTGCTTGGGTTTATGTTCTTCATTTTCCAAGGGTTCCATTGCCCTTCAGCTACATGATTTATTTTTCTCCACAGGGCCAGAACACATCATCAGATTCGTATTTGTGCAAGGGAAGGACTTCGCTGTAGCCGCTTATATTAACAAAATGAATAAATACAAGTTGACAATGCTCATGGGTACGTCTCACCTTGCCTAAGGTGTGGAGATTTGTATGGGTTTGGGCATGGTCAGTGTGTACAGAGTGGATCACAATCTCAGGCTCTCATGCTCTAGTCTCCAACTTGAGGTCTTTTCTGAGATGATTGGGGTCTTTGAGAGAGGGGATTGTAAGCTTTTCATGTGTCTTCAGCCCTCTCCAGATGGCTACTGAAACACTAGGCTCACAACCACACCCCACACACTGAGCCCTAGCTCCTCCCTTCCTTTCTCTGTCAGCCTCTTTTCTCATCCTGTTCTAAGAAGAGATCTGCTTGGAATCATTTCCCACGGTGACACTGAGAATCATTTGGAGACAATGTGCTCTTGTCATGGTAACAGGTCCTTATCTGACAACCAGTCTGTGGAGGACAGAGTTGTACTCAACTCCTGTTGTAAATAAATTGCCACACTCTATCCAGATAGATACAAGGTACTGGAATCCACATTTATCATAACATCAAAAGAGAAGTAAGAGATAAATTGCTGAAGTAAGGTTTCATGTATAGTTTTAGTCAGTGCTAAGTAGAGAAAAATATTTTGTTACTCTCTTCTTCCCTCAGATTGTTTAAAATGCAAAGAGAAGCTTGAACAAGGCTTAGGAAGTCTCAGTGGTTAAGAGTTCTTGTTCTGCAAGCATGAAGACCTGAAGCTATGTCACAAGAGTTCACATAAATAGCTAGACATGGCTGAGCATGTCTGCTAACCATTATTATGGAAGAGACAATGGGTCCTCAGAGCTGGATAGTCAGACAATCAAGCCACATTGATGAAGGTCCAGATCAGTGAGTGACTGTGTCTCAAGGAAACAAGGTTTAGAGCTGTGGAGGAAGATGATTGATATTCTACTCTGGTAACCATGGTTGCAAACAGACACACCAAACCATCCACCATATATAAACACACACACACACACACACACACACACACACACGCACACGCACACGCACACGCACACGCACACGAACACGTACACTTGCTACTTGGGAGCAAAACCAGGACTTATGTGTGTGTTTTTTCCTCAAGAGAGATTTTCAGTCACATTCTGAGGAATGGAGGTGTCCTGATTCCATGCTGTGTCTGTTCTCACAGAGGAGTTCTAGACATTAAAGTACACATGAAAAGAACGTGGGTGCTAAGTTACCAGTGTTGGGTAGAAACCTGACTTCCACCATGCAACATCATCAAGCACTTAGATCCCAATGCTGGCAGCACATTTCTAGCCTCTGCTTGTATTCTCCAATTGCTCTTTTCTCATGGTCCTTCTGAACATCAGATGGCACTGTGCTTCCTCCATCTCTCTAGGTCATCCTGAACACACACAGTCCTCAACCAGTAGTCTCTGCACACAAGATATTTCAACAATGGCCTAGGAGTCCCCCAGATTCGACATGGAGACTCTAGATACACCTACTGCTGTCCTTTGGGACTCCCACCTGGTCCTTCTCCAGCTCATGAATATTCAGCTGGAGATTCTTTTTCTCTGGCTTGAAATCTCTCAGTTTCAGAAAAATACCTGTATGATACATGTGTTAAATGTCTATAGTAAGAGTCTTTTCCACCCCCTTGTCCCATACCCATGTGTCCTGCAGGTCGCAACATGACTCCAAAGCGAATAATACTATCAGAGTTTGAGGGTTTTGTGGTAAATTTAGGGCTGAACCGAACAGACATCATCCGCCCTAAATGTGATGGTAATGAGATTTATATTTGCTTATTTTTATTTCCTTCTCAATCATGATTTTCCTGTAAGACAATGACCATACCAATACCACTCTCAGACAACTATGTCTGTGTTTATAGATTCCTGTGAGCTGTCCATTGAAACTTAGTGCATGGAGAAGCACCACAGAGTCTGCACAGGACCTTGAATCTGGGACCACTGCACTTACCCTGTCATCCTGTACATACCTGTTACAATTCTAGGTGTCAAGAGAAGGCAGACCATACATCCACACCCCTCATGTCTCAGCTTTCAGTAAAAGTCTTCTGTATGTGTCACGTGTGATCAAATGGTGCCTGAATTTGTTTTACTCTGGTGTGAGAAGCCACACATTCCTGAACTTGATTACCAGCACTCATGGGTCCCTATAGAAGTGACATGTGATGGCTCATGAGGTCATGGTGCTCAGGTTTGGCAGGCAGAAAATCTAGAGGGGGGGGGGCATGCATTATGTCTAGTTAGAGAAGGAGAGGATCATTACTGTCACCACCAAGCTGGTGTAGGTCAGCTAGTGTGGGTCAGTTTAAAAACCTGGGTCTCAGTACTTACCTTAGGTTCTGGTGCCTAGTGTTGGATT